TTGGGGTACTGTCCACTAGAGAAACTAGGACGCGCCAGCCAAACCGCGCTATTCCAGAGAAAAGCGGGGAAGGGGTTTGCACTCGCGAACCGTGATCACGTGCAGCGGCTTCAAGTGGCCGATTCAGCAGGGCCGCCAAATGGTGGCACCTGCGGGCTGGGCTTAGGAAGGGCTTCTCGCCCAACTAACCAGCGGGGTGTCTGGTCAGCTACCGGAGGGTTACAGACCCAGAGTGAGAGCGTCCCCTCACTACCAGGCTGGACCGTAGGCCGGATTTTTAGGGAACAGAGATGGTTGGGGCAAAGAGAGATAAGACAGATGTCTATTTAGAGCCCCCCCCTTACTCTATTTCACAATTCTCAAAACCTTGCTGTAAAAGCGGCTGAGATCAAGCAAACCACTGTTGCCAATTCTGTTGCACTGAGGATAACTAAGGCCTAAATTTGCATCTGATTTACGTTATTACAGTTGCTAGTAGGCAGGGCCGTTGTAGTCTACTGTCGCTCACTAAATTACAAATCAGGCCTGTCCCTGAAATGGTCTATCCCTCTACTTTTAGGTTTGGTCACTGGGTAGTGGCCGGGATCATGTCATGGATGCCATCTCCCAGTGCGAGCAACTGGTGAAGGAGCAGGGTGCCCACGAACGCAATGCCCCATGGCGCCTCTACTTCCGGAAGGAGATCTTCACGCCCTGGCACAACTCAAAGGAGGATCCAGTGAGCACAGAGCTCATTTACCACCAGATCATTCGCGGGGTCCGGTTCGGAGAATACCGCTGTGACAAGGTGGGGTTCCCGACTGCCATCTGCGCGGGAGCAGGAGGACCCAGGGGATTCCGAAGGGGATTAGCAAAGGGTGACAGGCTGATGTAGGTTTGTCCAACCACCCTCTCACTGGGCAAATGACGCTGCCCGGAGCCCAGCCAGAGTATGTAAGGTCAGCTGCATCTGCCAGCGCATGCTGGAGGCTACAGACGTGTCCAGAGCCACTTGGGTTCTATCCAGCTGATTATCCCGCTTGGCACTGCAGCTGCATCCTAGGTCATCTCTGTGTCTGTTGGGTTGCTGCCTAGGACAGCCATGCTGAGGGCTAAGCAACAACTATTGCTCTACCTGCTCTAGCCTGGGTAATCCTGGATGATAATAACACCCATTTCCTGTACAGCACCTCCTGTCAGTGGTACTCAGGGGATGGTAGGACCCAGCGGTGACTTTCCAGGCTTCATTTAACCAACTGAATTGTTGCAGGAGGAGGATTTGGTGGAGATAGGAGCAAAGTATTGCTACATTCAGTTTGGGGATTCCATCCGCAACGAGCTGGTCCAGAAACTACTCCAGGACTGCATCCCAGCAAAACTGCTGAAGTCGAAGCCCCAGGAGAAGTGGGTGAGCCTCCTAACCTACGCACACGCCAAGGTACGCACCTCGCCAAGCGCCGTGAATTCATCTGGGCTACGTCTAGATTGCATCCCTTTTTCGTAAAAGGGATGCAAATTAGACGTATTGCAATTGATAAAGAAGCGGGGATTTAAATTTCCCCCACTTCATTAGCATAAAAATGGCTGTCGCTTTTTTTTCAGCACGGAGCTTTGCCGGAAAAAAGCGCCAGTCTAGACGCAGATCTTTCGGAAAATAAAGCCTTTTCCGAAAGATCCCTTATCCCTTATTTTAGAGATATTTAAATCCCGGGCTTCATTTGCAACTCCGGTTACCCTCATTTGCCTACCTAGCTCGAACTAACGAGCTAGTGTAGATACCCATAG